ATAACAAAAATGAGTTAGCTTTCTCTGGCCACCTCCAAATGTGCTCTGTGCTCCAGATAATATTTACTAGAAGAACAAAAGGAAGAAACAAGAGACTAAAACTAAAACATACAAAATTTTCTGTTTTAAATTTGGCTTTTGTAAGCCATTTTTGTTTATAGACGCTAACATATTTTACCTCTTTTCTTTTCTTCCTTCCTTTTTATTCACTCAGCCATGAATCCATCCATCTACCTGTCCATCCATCCATCCATAGATCCATGGGTCCATCCATCCATCCATCCATCCATCCATCCATCCATCCATCCATCCATCCATCCATCCATCCATCCATCCATTTGTCCAAGAACCCACTCACTCACATAATTATTATTTATGGGACACCTACTATCTGCTTTGCACAGGCTAAGTTCTTGGGATCTATGTCACACAGTCAGAACAGAGTTTATTCCTTGGCTAAGATTACATCCTAGAGCAGACATGGGAAGACAGAAAAATCAGTCAACGTCAGTCATAGTTGTGACACATTATTTTATTTTAAAAAGCAGCCTCAGGGAATAAACAAGGCCAGCACCTCCCTTATAGATATAATGGTTAAGCCTCTCTTAGAGAAGGTAACAGTTCTATACAATGAGTAAATAAAGGCACTAGACACTGGGGCTAAAGGAAGAAGAGCTGAGGCAAAGAGAACATGTAAACATGGCACTCATGTTTGGACATGTCTAGCCACAGAGAGAAGGCCGGTGGGACCAGAGTGGAACAAAGGAGTGACGGGCAGAGGGAGGTGATTTTAGAGGGAGCCCACCACCAAGTACTCCTTCTTTCTTCTCATACCGCCATTATTATTCTTAAGGGAAAGTAGAAATTGCTAGCCATGGATGTGCCCACAGATAAGCATAGAAATCATAATTGAATTTCTCTAGCTCCTCGTCGATTGCTGGGCTCCTGGGGTAGCCATAAATACTTTGCAGACTCAAGCTACTGTTCTGTATTCAGCCTATAAAACCCTTCCAGGCTTGATCTTGTCACCTATCCCTGCATTCTGGTGCCCAGTACTGTATCTGGCAAGGAGCTGCTGGGTACCGCCCCCTTCTCATGAGGTCCAGCGGAGAAACAATTCACAGACCAAACGTCACTGGTTCTTCAGAGAGTGAGGCAAAGCCGGGCATGTGTTCATAACAACAAACAGTATTAAGTACATGAGCATTTCGGAAAGAACTGACACACGTGGGCGGGGCAATGGCTCCGTCAGTAAAGCCCAAGGGGGCGGACCTAAGTGTGTCTGCAACGCCCAAGTGTTGCAGTTTGCTTTCTGTTGATGTGATCCGTAACAGGACTGAGAGCAATTTGAGGGAAAAAGGCTTATCTCATGTTACAGGTTACAGTCCCTTCCTGAAGGGCGTCTGAGCAAGAGCTGAAGGCAGGAGCCTGAAGCAGGGATCATAAGGAATGCTGCTCATTGCCTTTCTCGGTGCCTTACTCTCGGCTGCATTTCTCATACAACTCAGGACTAGCTGTCCAGGGGTGGCACTGCCCACCTGGGGCTGGCCCTCTTACACCAATCAGGGACATGTCTCCCAGACTTGCCTATAGACCAAAATGCAGGTTCCGTCTTTACAGATGACTCACTCTAGTTTGTGTTAATCATCACAGGTGCCAATTCAAACTCTTAACTAAGTTTAGCAAAACCCATGGTTAGATTGAATTAGATTGGCTACATGGGAATGGATTGCTGAGGAAGGGTGTGTGTGTGTGTGTGTGTGTGTGTGTGTGTGTGTGTGTGTGTGTGTACCAGTAGGCAGAGGCCAGAGGTCAACCTCAGGTGTCATACATCAAGAGGCAGGAGACCTGTCTTTCCAGGAAGGCTCTCTTACTGGCTGGGGCTTGCTGACCAGGGGAGACTGGTTGCCTCGCCAACCACAGGGACTCCATCCACTGTTTCTGGCACCTACACATTGGGGCTATATGCATGCACCACCAGAGACTTTTGGTAGGGGGCGCTCTGAGGACAGAGCTCAGTTCCTCAAGCTTGAGAGACAAGGATGGATCCAGCTTCCCACTCCTGAGACTTTCAGACATGGAAACCCTTCCACCGACTGCCTCTTCAGAGCTCGACACGGTGCTTGTCTCTCTCTGTTCATCATCTGGCAAACGCCAACGCCAACAGAACACACATCTGCACCATACACACCGACACTGTAGAACGTTCTTGAATGCATTACATGCATTCCAGATATTCCATATGCATTATACGTACTTTCTTTATGTGTACACCGGTTACTCACAATCCATATTATACATTTCTAGCCTCACAAGAGATTTGTCTCCTACACAAGACATGTAGAAAGGGTGTCACCTTGATTCTGCTGGCAATTCTGGTCACTGTTTACAGCCCCATATCTTAAATGCCACAGGTATATAAACGATTTGTTAATGGTGTTGTAGGTATCGACAGCCTCCAGCCCCTTCATTATAATGACATCTCATTCATTGAGTAACTTACCTGTCCATTGAACCCTGGACGCAGCGTCTGCCCTGCTGCTGCCCTGTGTGGATGGAGGAGGCTGCGAGGGGGCAGGACACAGCTGAGGCACAGTAAAGCAGGAACATATCGACTGACACACCCCTACTTTTCCTTAGTGAGGCTTGTTCACACTCTTGTTATACTCCTGGAGAATTCAGAAGGCAAGTGGTGAACAGCTAAGATGGGGTGTGGTCCCTCTGATGCAGGAGATTTCCAGGGATACGTAAGTTCACTTGATGTTTCTAAGAACCCCTTTCACAGAAGCATAAGAAAGTTTCAGAGAAGTCAAGTCATTTTCTGAGAGTCACACAGCCTCACAGGTTTCAGAGCAGAGGAGACAAGCCCAGCTTTTTATTAAAGGTCCTGATGCAAGGTCCTAGCCAACAAGTTCTCATTACAGCCTTCCCAGCGCCATTTGTTTAAGTGAAATACACGTCACATTCCCAACTTCCCAAATTCATAGCAAATCTGCTGGCTTAATAACATATTCTGGGACCTCAGGCAGTATCATTTCATAATAGATTTTTGGCCTCTAGGAATTGTCCGGTCCTACCTGCTTCATCTGGATCTCAAAGGCCGGGAGAGAAGGGATGATCCAGGCCACCTGTCATCCTTTCTTAAAGAGATGCCTGTCTCAAAAGGAAGCTGCAGATAGAGAACGAGCCATTGGCCTGCATGTGGCCCAACCCTAGGGCTTCCCAAGCAGGCTGACTGCTGCTGTGGGACATGAGAGGACACACGGGAAGACTGCAGAAAGGACGCTGTGTGCTGTCCTCCAGACTCCTGTTCTTCCCCACAAGGCCGCTGGTGTGAGGCGTGGCATGCTCTGGATTTCCCTGCTCCCACACTGCTCACTGCCTTTCTTCTATTGTCGGACAAGCACCCAGGTCCGACAATAGACTTGGGCTGAAGTTGAGGAAACACGAGAAGGAGGAACAAGGACCAGAAACCGTGGCAGCTGAACTCTTTGAGGGTAAAAGTGGCAACCAGTGCAATTTTAAACACCTTTTAAAAACTCCATGTCAACTGGATATCAGGAATGAATTTTAAATCTATCACCCTGCCCAGGGCCGCCAATAGCAAAGACTCCCTCGGGGCCCAAGCAGTTTAGCCTACAGTGTTCCCAGAGCTAAGAAAATCAAGTGTCGAAATCCATGTCTTCACCTTCCCTAAAAATGGAAGGATACGTAAGCCAGTTTCTATTTTTGGTCAAGGCACCGAAGTCAGCCGAATGTGAGCTCTGGGATCGTAATGTAACATCTCTTCCAACAAAATGCCCTCCCATTGTTTCTGAATGTACAGGAGTGCCGGTATATTAATAATATTGAGAACCCCTTGTTGGAGAATTATGTCTTCCAAAGAATATTTGGGAAAGTCTGGCTCTAGTATTTAGGGATAGAATTTGTCAAGATGACTTTCGACAGTGAAGTAAGTCCCACTTCTTTGGTGTAAATTGAAGGTATTCGGGGAGGGGAGGGATTGGGGTGGGGATGGGAGGTGGATGTTGACTTCTTCCTTAGGCAAGGATCAGGTACTGACTGCTTCCTGTCTGTTGTCATTAAGGATGGTGGAAAGGATCCCTGGGTCACTTCTGATCTTTAGTCCAGGGAAACACATGGACATAGATCAGCTTATTCGGTTGTCCTGCACAGTCTTATTCCCAGCGGTTCAGATGTGTGCAGCTGAAGGTGGGGAGGGGCCCCACTGTCCATTCTTAACTACCTTTCCTATGTGAAACCCATGGCACTCTACCCATATCTCCCCCACCACTGAGCATGCTGGGTATGGCTCCATGGGACCCTCCTGTTCTCTGTGTTTTTACCCCACTGGGTTAGCCTCCATCCTGTGTGCATTGTCCCCAGGTGTGGCGATGTGAACGAAGAAGATGGCGCCCACATGGTAGTGAAGGCCCCTCACTGCAGCAGTGGGGTCCCCACATTGATCCTTCCCAGGCAGTGCTTTTTATTGCTGCACAAACGTTAACTTGAAGAAAGCCACCTGCTGCAGACTCACCCTCTCACTCATGTGTTCGAAGTCAGAATCTCTGTCACTCAGTGGGAGCCTGAGGCATTAGAGGTGCTGGGAGAAAGCAAGATTTGTTAACTGAAGAGCACACATGCCAGACACAGCCAGAGAGTCCAAAACAGAATCTGAAATGGACTGGGTGCTGCTGGGGTGGAACCAGTGGAAGCAGGTCGTAGGACTTGTCCTGTGGATGGAGATTCCAAGTGGGAGACACTCCAGGGTACAGAGTGAGCATCACCACACTACACAGAGGCTGAGGTTTGGCTATGGTTACATGGGAAGGGTCTTGCCTCTGTGCTCACTGGCCAATCTATTCCGTATCAAAAATTTTAAAAATTCTTTATCTTACCTATTGGTGAAATTATTAAGGCCACTCCACATAGTTAAAAGGGAGGTTTATTTTGTGGGGTAACTCACAAATGAGGGGATAGGTAACAGGGTCTGGGAAAGGTGTAGTGCAGTCCAGTGGTGTTCTCTGGAGAACTCTGCTCGGTCTACCTCCAGTGTCCAGGGTCCAGGAACCGAGAGAACTGGCCCATCCCGATCTCAGGTCTTCAGGGTCCTCTCTCGGACCCGCCTTGTAGGCTTGACAACTACCGAAGCCTCAGTGGGGGTTGGAACTTCCAGATCAAAGCTGGAATGGCTACCCACTACACTTACCAGAAGCCTGGTTGCATCCTGTAGAAGAATAAAAAGCTCAAAGCTGCTTTGAAATCGACAGCAGTGATTGCAGTTCTCATTCAGCGGTACTGCCGTGCTGGCTGTCTTGAGTTATTCACATGGCCACACCCTGGTGCAGGGCCACTCCAAATTGAGTTGTCTGTGCCCCCAAAACGTACAAGGTGAAGTTCGCAGGTTTTCAGAGATTCTCACTCTGCTTCTGGCGAGTCTAAATCTGTTCTCAGCTTCCTATTTATCATGTTGGTTTTGAATAAGAAGTTGGATTTTAGCCTAGTGGTAGTGACACACACCTTTAGTCCCCTCATTTAGGAGGCAGAAGCAGGTGGATCTCTGTGAGTTTGAGGCTAGCCTGGTTTACAGAGAGAATTCCAAGATAGCCAAGGCTACACAGAGAAACTCTGTCTCAATAAACCAAGGGGGGAACAAAGCAGAAAGAAAAAAGTTTGATTTTTGTCTCTCATAACAAGAAGTTTGAAAATAGACATTTACTGGCCCTGACTGGTTCATACAAAATGTCTGGGGTTGGGTCAGACTCTTTGGTTTTTCTTTTCTTTCTTCATGTTTCTTTTTAGAAAGGGTCTCATGTAACCCAGGCTGGACTTGAACTCACTATTTCTGATCCCCTTGCCCCTACTTTCTGAGTTATGGGTTACAGGCCTGTGATTACATACCTCATGTATGCCAGGCAAGCCCTCTGCCAACTGAGCCACACTTACCTTCAGCCCTTGGACCAGAGTCTTTTAGACAACCTTCTGCTTCTGATCTTGATTCTGAGATAGAGCTGTCCTCCTGGCAGCCCTCCTTCTTGACGGGCAGGCAGGATAGGGAGGGGCCTTTTCTTATTGCGTGAGTAAGAAACACTCTGCTTCACATCAGTTGGATATCCCGCTGTTTCTCCCTTGTTGCCACTGACAGACAGACTTGATCACAAGTGTACATGTCCCTTGGCATAGCCAAGAAGAGTTCTGCACCCACCCACCCACACCGAGCGCCTTCACTGTGCCCTGGGATGGCAGTGCTTATTTTGCGCTAGTGTCTCTCATTGTCTTGAAAGTCAGGGGAAATGTGTGACTCAGCCTAAAAGCAAAACAAACAGAGCAGTGATAAGAGAGAGGCGGGCAAGCCCGGAACTGCAAGGTGGGTTTGAACATCTTTGCACAGGCTGGCCCCTGGCCCTCGTTCTGATGTCAGCTTTTATCTTTCTTGTAGTTCATTGCCATCTTGTCACACTAGACTGATTCCTGTCCATACTTGCTTGCTCCTAAGATACAGTTTTCTCTCTGACATTACGGTGACCTGGAGCACGCTTCCTGAACTGTGAAGTGATTGACATGCCAACATTCATTCTCAACTCAAATATCACTTCCTCTTGGAAGCCCTCTGGGACTGTGACATGCATATTTGCCTACCTTCAACTAACTCATTTTTCGTCCACTTCGGACTCACTTTTTCAGAGAGCTTTTCCCAGTCTAAAAGTATCTTGCTTTTTTTTTCCTTTTCTTTTTGCTTTGGCTCTACATGTCCTACTGGACCCTGGGACTGAGAGCCTGAGGAACAGTGTCTGTCTTTGTGCACTTAGCTGAGTTCCTAAGGGCAGGAGGAAGGGAGGGGGCAGGTGGCATTAGAGAGGTACCTGGAGGGGCTGGCTCAGGGGTGGTTTGGCCAGTAAAGTGCTGGCCATGCAAGCAGGAGGACCCAAGTTCAGGTCTTTAGCATCTGCGTTAAATCTGGGTGTGGTGGCGTTGGCCTAAAGAACTAGCATTGAGGGGAAGGAGAGAAGCGAGGGGCAGGTCCCTGAAGCTGCTGGCAGCCAGTCCAGCCAATCAGTGAGCTTCAGGTATGGAGAAACCTCAAAAATAAGGTCAAAGACCCTAATGTTGACTTTTGGCCTACACCCACTCACATATACCTGCCATGCACATATACACACAGACACACACACACACACACACACACACACACACACACATGCACACGCACACGCACACGCACACCATGCCTTGATTCAAAGGAAGAAGACATCTTATTGAAAAGAACATACTCATGAAAATACTGCAGATCCATAAGCCATAACCATGTGGCAGAGTTCACATGCTGACCCCACTTCTCTGCTCTGTGTGTACTATTGGGGGGGTGGCATGCACAGTGGACTCTCCTGTGCAGTCGTGGGTGGAACACTCCCATTATGTCAAGTCTTCGTACAGTCACCTGAGCTGTTCTTGGCAGCTGTTTTTTGCATTCATGACTGTGGACAGAATGACAAAGCCATTTATATGTCAAGGAAAAAAAATCACCCGGTGATCTTCTGTGTATTGTCTTCCGAGAGAACCCATAGTTCTCAACACCTGCCAAACAAGAGCCCCTGCCAAGAAGATGTAGACACAAAAGGTTTGAAAGAAATCATGGAAGCAGAGATTAGAATGAAGTCTCTTCCTGATTGCCAGGACTGTGCAGGCCTGCTTCGGGCCACTCTGCACTTCTCTTCCACAAAGACAATGCAGAGACCGAGTAAAGCTGCTGGGATTCAGAGCAACACAAATAAAATGACTGCAGTGTTACCCGTGGAATGGTGACCTCACAGAATGCTACCTTGCCAACCACGGAGCCTTGGAACCTTACCCATAAGCCAAGAGAGGTCCTGATAGTGTCACCACCCAAGCAGTTGTCCCTTCGTGCATCCCTTTGACTGAAGAATATGTCCTCTGTGTCCCTGCCAACCTTCCAGAGGCAACGGAGCACGCCCCCATTTGGGTGCAAATGCAGAGACCACTAGCCAGCCATCTCTGTAAGCTTGCAGCCAATGCCTCAGCAACCAGGAAGGGATTCATGCTTACACCTTGCTTTTTTAAAGTGGTCAGTGGCAAGTGAGTGGCTGTGTGTCCACATGTGACAAGCCTGCAGTGATGGAGCCAAGCAAGATGGTTACATGTCTTGACTTTGTTTATCTGTGTAAATCAGCTCTCATCCAAACGTGTGTTAAGACAGAATGCTCCAAAACCATAGTTTTGAGAAATAAAAATGGAGATCACACGTGAAAGGTGAGTTTACATTAAAGGAGAAATCTCAGAAGAAAATTCAAACCAAATCCCAAGCCACTAAGATTTCCAGGATAGAGAATTCAAAGGCAAGTATAAGAAGATCTATTTGGCAATGCACTAAAGAGACTGAGGCAGGGGAATTGCCAGTTCCATGGCAGCCTGAGCTGAAAAAAAAATGAGACTTATGAAACAAAATAAAATAAAGCAAAAAAAAAAAAAAAAGACCCTGAAGAAGGTATTAAGGAAAACAGTGTTGCTTTTTCTCAAAACAAAGCAAAACACCTCACTGAGAGGAACATGAAATAAGTTTAGCTGGAAGTTTTCCCATGTCCCACCCGGTCCACAGCCCCTCAGACCCAAATGAACACACAGAGGTTTATATTTATTACAAACTGTATGGCCATTAGCTCAGGCTTATTACTGACTAGCTCTTACATTTAAATTAACCCATATTCTTATCTATGTTTAGCTATGAGGCTTGGTACCTTTTCTCAGTTCTGCCTTGTCATCTTGCTTCCTCTGTGTCTGTCTGGCGACTCCTGACTCAACCTTCCTCTTCCCAGAATTCTCTTTGTCTGCTTATCCCACCTGTACTTCCTGTCTGACTACTGGGAAACCAGCATTTTATTTATCAACCAATCAGAGCAACACACATTCACAACATACAGAATGAAATTCCACAGCAAACAAGAAAAGAAAAGTCACTCAAACGGGCTTGTGAGAGATTTCATATTGGAACCAGGTGGCTAATGCTGTTCCCAGCAGAGGCTGGAGATGGTTAGGGAAAGGGAAGGTCAGAATAGACTTCTTCACATATCAGGAAACACTCAGGATTTTGTGGATCTGAACTTCAACTGCTTAAAAAACCTCTAGAGCTGAAACAGTAATTTCCCCACTTCCAAGGATCTCTAAAAGAGTTGTTTTTTTTTTTTTTTTGCTTTTTTTTTTTTTTTTTTTTTTTTTTTTTTTTTTTTTTTTTTTTTTTTGGTTTTTTTAGGCAAGGAGGGAAAAGGGTGAAATGTGAAATGTTTATTTTTACCAACTGAAGATTCTTCTGGTGATCTGATGATGTACGGGAAATCTTTTGTGTGCTTTCTCTTTGCCTCAAAAGAGAAAAAGAGAGCAGGAGCTGTTCTCCTGATAATTGCTGGGATAGAGGGGGTGATGTAGGAGGTGAGGTGTAAAAGGAATGGAGACCACTCTATTTTTTCGTGGCCACCTGTCCTCAAGTCCCATTTTTCTTCTCAATAAAAACTCCAGTCAGGTTGTATTTTGATACCTGCCACTCGACACTCATCAAGTGACAAGACTGCTAGGCCAATATGTTCAGCCAGGAATACGCATTCTGAAGAATGTTCCAGAACGGCAGTGATCTCCCGTACACACTGGAGTCAAGCTCAGAGCTTTGCCTGCTATCGCCATGTCCGTATCCACCAGTCTACTTGCATTATTTCATGTGGCAAAGTCAATATGAGAATTAATAATAGCTTTCTGATCTACAAATAAAAGCACGCCACTTTACATTTTTGGCAGTGAGCTGGCATTTTGTCATTTAATCATTTCAGATCATTACACTGCAATACGGAATGTAATGACATGACACTCCTAAATGACAAACACTTGGTCTCTCCTGCTTGGGAAGGAATAATGTAATAGGAAGCAAATTATATCCTTAAAGGTTGCCCGTGTTCCACTCCCACCATTAGGTTGGAGACACTGAGCAGATACAAGGTGACCAAAAGGAGACTCTCCCCTCCAGATGTCCTGGGTGGGACAGAGACAGAGAGATTGTCATAAGGGGACAGAACTTTCCCAATGCTGTGAATGTCCTTTCCTCTCTAGAGCTCCACAAGAAAGGGCTGTGTTTAGGATTCCTTCTTGCTTTGAAAAGCAAACATCAAGAGATGGAGGTGAGGAGGGAGGAGGTGGCTGCTGCTTTTAAAGTATATCTCTATAGTTAGTTTTGGAAAAGGTCATATAGGAAGATGGCAGTCATAGAGTGCTTGCTATTCAAGTATGTGCATCTGAGTTTGATACCTAGAACCCGTGTGAAAATCATGTGCTTTGTAATCGCAGCCCTGGAGAGTTGGAGACTGACTGAACTCTGGGGGCTTTCTGTCCAGGCAGCCTGGACAGAGTGTCCAGTTAGAGACCTTGTCTCCAAAACAAGGTAGATGGTCCCTATGTAGTGACACACACTGAGGTTGATCTGTGGCCTCTACACACACACACACACACACACACACACACACACACACGGGGGTGGGGTGGGGGGTGTTTCTGTCCATGCTTTTGCATTGCTCAGATTTCACTGGCATGCTAACAGGGTAAAGCAACTGTTCTTCAGTGGCCTTCCTACTCGGTGACTCTTGATTTGAAGACTCCCTTGAGGCTGCAGTCCAAGTTCCCCATGTCTGAAGTCTCTTCAGGGTGCCTGGAATTCCTTATGCCCAGTACAAATCTCACATGCCTCGTGAGAACCCACTTACAGTCATTCTCTGGACCAAGGGTACTGCCAGCCATCCAACTGTCCATGCCAGAAGCCTTATGAGGTTGTCTGACTGATTCCTTCCCTTACACTTCCTCCAGACCTTTTTGATGCAACAGGTGACATATTGACTGTTGATTCAGCAAGGGCTTTGAACCTACCAGGAGGTGCTGTCATGGCCACCCAGTCACCCCACCTTCTAATTTACCTCTGTGATGGTTCATCTTATTTTTCAGCTTGAGAAGGTGTAGGATCACCATGGAAACAAACCTCTAGGCCTGTCTGGGAGGGATTATCATCTAGATTGGGCTGGGGTGGGAAGACTCACCCTAGATGTGGGGGGTGCAATTTAAACAGCTGGGCACCTGGGTTTAATAAGGAGGGGGCTAAGCTCTGGCGCTCCTCTTTCTCTGCTTCCTGACCACAAGTCCTGTTCCCATTGCTGTACCTGTGTGACAGAAACTAGCCTGCTGAACTGCGAGGCAAAACAAACACGTCCTTCCTTAAATTGCCTTTTGCCCAATATTCTAAAAATTATTTTTAATTGTGTGGTACATGAGCCAGAGCCCTCCCCTCCAAGCACCTGGGCCAGAGTCCTCCCCTCCAAGCACCTGGGCCAGAGTCCTCCCCTCCAAGCACCTGGGCCAGAGTCCTCCCCTCCAAGCACCTGGGCCAGAGCCCTCCCCACAAAGCCATATGTCCATTTCCTGCATGGCCGCCAGTACCCTCTGCCAGGTTCGGACTCAATCTTCTCCACTGCTTTGCAGCTCTGTCTTAGTAACTCCTCTCGTCCCCGTGACAAAATGCCTGGCAGAGGAGGGAAAGATTTATTTGGTTCACAGTTTGAAAGGGAACAATCCATCACGGTGCTAACAACATGGAAATGGCATAGGACCATGGACCAGGAAGCCGGGCGCTTGGGCTGGAAGCAGAGTAGGCAGAGCTGTCAACTGTCCAGTGTCCACCTGCACACATCTGCCTCCTCCAGCTGGGCATCACCTCCAAAAGGTCTCAAAGGGTCCCCAAACAGCTGGGGACCAAGTCTTGAAACACATGCATCTGTGGGAGACACTTCACATTCACACTCCTCCCCAGAATACTTATCCACAGATGGGCCCGCGCAACCGCGCAGACCTGACAAGGGTCTCCTTGGGTCCAGACTCCTGGCCTCACTGTTTGCCTCAGACTCAGTTGCTCCTCTTATTCCCCTTATTCAACATGCTACTCTGAGTACCTGAAATATGTATCTCACCTCAGTTTACCGACCTGACTTGTGACCATCTTCTGGGTCTTGGTTCCAGTGTCGTCCCCAGGAGACATGATGCATGTACCACATTGTCGCCCTCCCAGAACTGTGAACGGGACCTCAGCCAGTTTCTACACATTCACCAGGTACTTGCTTGGTCAACGTCTCCTTTCCTCCAGTTTCCATGGTCCACAATGGCAGATCCATAGTGATGTTTGCTCATTTTCTACTTCCAATATTAGCACAGAATCTAGTATATAGTTGCCACTCATGTAGTCAGTCAACAAACCAAACAGTTTGTGAGGTTAAGAGGTCAGCAGAGGTCAAGACTTTGCCAAGACCATTTGGGGGCTGCCTTTGCTGTGGAGTTTTGTAACTCAATCTGCTGTTAGAAAACAGGGTTTGCAGAAAAATTCTAAACTAGAGTGGTTCCCCCACCAAGCAGGGACATAAAGGCATGACAAGCCTCCCATATGCCTATTGATCCCAAGGCAAAAACTTCCCCTTGGAGATGGGGGTAGCTAAGACTGGGAGCTATTGCCATGTGTGTGTGCAATGGGGAGACAGGATGGGGAGAGCGTGGAAGAATGAGACAGTTCTCTTATGGGGTGGGGTGTTGAATGAGGAAGCAGAGTTTCACTATATAGCCCTAGATGGTCTGAACTCACTATGTAGACCATGTGAGCCTCAAACTCATAGAAATCTACCTGCCTCTGCCTCTTGAGTACTGGGATTAAAGGCATTCAACTCTTGAATCATGTGGCTT